CCTGGGCTCGGCCCGCGGAGCCTCACCCATCCTGCACTTGCACCGGCGACCTATAATTTCAGGCCCTGCGTCTATTTGAGGCAGCGGCGCTCAGAGCGCAGGAACACGGATGTTTTGCGACGTCGCCATTTAAATCCTGGGTGTTGCGATGGCCAGTTGCGATGGTGGGGGTGGGAGTGGCCGACGGCGTCCAGGGCCGGGGCCGGGCTGACTTCCAAACCCTCAGAAACCTTAATGACCATCCTGGGCCTTCGTGCTTGTTTTCACCCAGAGAAAACAAAACAAAAAAAAGGTCCTTCCGGACAGTCTGTGGGTGAAGTCAGAAATGGTCCCAGGAGCCGGCGTGACTCTAGAGGCCATCTGGGGGGTGCAGCACCTCGTGGCCCGACCCCTCCTGCAAGCACGCTGCGGACTTATCGTCCCATAACAGCAGCACTTTTGAGGGATCTGTTCGGCCAGCGACTTCGTCCCAAAAGGCAGAGCCGCTCTCTAAGTCCTCTTGTGAGACTCGGGGGTTTAAATACAATCCCTCTGAAATCACGGACGGGGACGTGGACGGGGACTCCCCCAAGGTGCCCGCCAGGGATCTTACAGGGTGGAAGCTGCTTCCCAACGGGATTGCGGGGCTCTGGGCCAAGGCAGCTCCCGAGCTCCGAGCTCCGGGTGAGATGGGCCCCGGGCAGCTAGTCAAGGAGCTGGGGCTCGAGGGGGAGGAGGAGGAGGGGGAGGGGGAGGAGGAGGAGGAGGATGGGGAGGAGGAGGATGGGGAGGGGAAGGAGGGGGAGGAGGAGGAAGGGGAGGGGGAGGCACTCCGGCGAGGAGGGGCTCCGGGGGCCGTGGGGGGAGGCTGGCCTGACGCAGGGTGTGGGGAGGGCACTTGCTGGAGGGAGGGTCTGCAGGGGCCTCCGCAGGGTGTGCGGAGCCCAGGGCCCACGGGCCCACGGCTAGAGATGTGCCGCGGGATCAAGGCACGAGGCCCGAGATCTTAAAGACAAAACCAAAAAAACCCCAAGAAATTAGCTGATCTGAGAGGCGGATGAGTAGTTCCCACCGGCTGTGCCTCGGCCGGCGTAACCTGGCCCGGAGCTAGACGCGTTTTAGGTGAAGCCGCAGACACAGGCCAAAGGACCCGGATCCCTGCGGAGCCTCACAGGCAATTGGGAGCGACTGAAACCTCAAGCGTGTCCGTGAAGTCGCGTCACTGATCCAGTCGTTTCACACTGAGAACGCAGAGCCTCCGGGGTCCTGGGTGCGTCCCTGCAGCCACAGGGGACAGCCCCCCCAGGTGACCCCCCCCGAATCACACCCCTGCACCCAGACCCGGGCAGGATCCCAGGCACCCCGCCCCCTGAATCACACCCCTGCAGCCGCCCTTACACACCGGCTGGCCCCCAGGACCCTCGGTCCCCGGGCGACTCGGGACAGGACCGGCCCAACAGCCACCTGTGCCTGCAATGTTTCAGGCGACTCGTGATCCGTTCCGGGGAGTCCCTGCGAGCGGGCGCCCAGGCTAGTCGCATGGGATCATCGTGCGGTTTCGGGTTGAAGTCCCGATACTGTGCCAGAGGCCTCCCGAGGGGAGTTGGAAGGCTCCAGGCGTGACACCCGGGGGCCTGCTGTCCTTGGGACTACTTTGGGAGCCGTGGGGGCACACGGGGGTCGTTCTCTGAACCCTTCCTCTTGAGGGGAAAGTCAGCCGTGTGCCCCCGGCCCCGTGGCCGTGAACTCGTGGATTCCAAGCTTGTCGGCGGCTGTGGCCCGGCGGAGGCCGTTCCTCCCCGGTGCCGGCCTTGTTCCCGCTCGGTCCGGGGGAAGCCCCTTCTCGCGGACCCCGCAGGAGCCCCAGCCGGTGGGGGCGTGGGAGGCCGTGGGCACAGCCTCGTGCCGCACTCTCCGGAGCGGCCCCTGTCCTTAGACGCCCGTCAGCTCTCCTGGTGCCTGGACACGGGGCTGCTGATCGCGGTCCTGCGAGAGCTGAGCTTCCCGTCCCCTGGGTCACCCGCCAGCGGGGGACTCATCACGGGAGGGCACGGACGCCAGATTTGAGAATGTCAGCACAACGGTCTCAACGAAAACAGGGCGGGAGCTCAGAGGGAAAGGCCGTGGGCGCCTGCGGTTCGGTTTGGGTTCAGAGTCTCAGGAAGCCTCAAATACACGCGTCCCTGGTTGTGGGCACTTGGAGGTGCTCGGCCCCCCCAGCCCTCCCCTACCCCCCACCGCCCGCCCCGGGGCTCCCACCGGCCTGGGAAAGGAGGCGCCCCTACTCATTCCTGTCCCCAGTGCTTGGGTGGGTGTTTTCTTGTGGGTTTTGGTTTGGGTTTTGGTTTGGGGCTGTTTTGTGCTCCAGAAACATGGCCGCTCCTGCCACTGGGGCAGCGTCCAGAAGGTGAGGCCGGGACGGGGCGGGGGGGGGGGGGGGAGGGCCTCTAATTAGCCAGCTTCAGCCAACCAGCGAGGTCCTTGGGACTAAAATAAACCAGGCACGGAAGACAAACAGAACGGGGCGGCCCTCCCGCCGACGGAGACGTTTCGGGGTGGGGGGGGCGACCCTGCAGGCTGGGGGGGCTGCCTGTCGGGGAAGCTGCGAGAACAGCTTCGCACTTGACCCCGAGGACAGGGCCCTCCCTCCGATCGCCAAATTTGTTTTTTAACAAGGACGTCGGGACACTATTTCCAAATTCTCCCGGATGGTGAAGACTCCACTTAGGGCCCCTGGAGGAAGCCTGGGCCCAGGCGGTGCCCCTGTGACCGCTGCCGACCCGGGGGACACAGGGCTGGGGCGCGGGGATCCCAACCACTTCCCGTTACCCCCGAAATGCCCGCCCAGCCCAGGAGCGTGGCTGGCCTAGAGGGAGGAGCTGAGTCGCAGCGGCCATCCCGGGTCCTCCCGCCCGGCCAATGTGCACCCGCCCCCACATTGCTCCTTCCAGGAGAGCTGCCAAAGCCAAGAGGATTAATTCTGTTCGAGGGTCCCGCATTCCAGAGGAGGCTCAGGTTACGGGGGCTGGGCTCAGGGCTGGGCTCGTCCATGGGGTGGGGCCCTGGGCCCGTGCGTGTGGCCTGTGTTGGGTAGGGGGGACCCCAGACCGGGCCGCCCGCAGGCACAGGGCGACGGCAGCACGGGGTCCCCAGGGCTCCTCCGCCGCCGGGCAGCACCCTAAGCCATACCTCGTGGCCATTCACGTCTCTGCTCGTGTCCTTGGAGCTGCGTGGGGCTGCAGCGCATCCCAGCCGCCCTGCGCCCAGCCCTGCCCTCCCCCGGACCTCGCGGCGTCGCAGCGTCCCTCGAGCACGCGGCCCATGTTCACGGGTGGCCCATCTCCGGGAGCCCACGCTCCGCAAGTCACAGGGAGGACGAGCTGCGGTCAGACGCAGGCCCCCCACATGCGGAGCCCGCGTGCAGCACCTCGCAGCCGGGTGGCTCCTCTGCGGCGCCCCCAGCAGCTGCCCCCACTCAGCTCCCGCGGCCTAGCACAGGGCCCCTCGCGTCCCGGGGTCGGCCAGCCACCCGGCCCTCGCTGCACCTGCCAGAGGCTGCAGCACAGGCACGGGCACCACCACAGCCACCCTCCTCCGTCCACGTCGGGCCTCCTGGCACCTTAGACCTCCACCATCAGACACCCCGACATCCCCCATCTATACCCCGACCTCCCCCATCACGCACTGTGGCCTCCGCCGTCAGACCGGCGGCCTGAAGTGTGCTTCTGCTGGATGGACGGGCTGCAGGGACACAATGGCACCGTCCTGGGGCTGAGGAAACCAAGCCGGATGGAAGCAACGGGCTGTTTTTTGCTTTAAAATACTTTGGCCTCAGGCAGCCTGGGTGGTCCAGTGGTTTAGCGCCGCCTTCAGCCCAGGGCGTGACCCTGGGGTCCCAGGTTCGAGTCCCCATCGGGCTCCCTGCATGGAGCCTGCTTCTCCCTCTGCCTGGGCCTCTGCCTCTCTCTCTGGGTCTCTCATTAATAAATATTAAAAAAAAAAAAACCCCCCCACACAGCAGATCTTGGCTCTGACTCTCCATGTGAGTGAGAGGCATGTCCTGGAGGATCCCCTCTTGCAGGACAACGGGAGCCACGGCCCGGCCGAGCCTGCCAGGAGCTCACGGAAAGCCCGAGGGAGTGACCCGGCCCTGCCCCTGCGAGCCCCAGGCCCTCGGCAAAGTCACACACGCAGCTGCCGCGCAGGGACCAGGGCCTCAAGCAGGGGCCTGGGATCCCGCCGTTCCTGAGGATCGAGCAGCTGGTTTCAATTTGAGGACATTCCCACGCCCGGCTGCGACCACACGGAGCAGAGTCATTTTCGAAGGTGAAGCCGTGCTGCGTCCTTTCGAGCAGCTAAGCCGCCGGCTGTGGCCACACGGCGCCCGCCCCACGTTCTGTGTCCTGCAGAAGCGCAGTCGGAGGGGCCATCGGCGGGCTTCTGTCCTCGGGCACCTGCAGACGCCCGCTCCGTCCTGCGGGTCCCGCCCCGTGTGCCCGCGACCACCGCCCTCCGGAAGAGGAGGCCCCGGGGTGCAGGGGACGCGCTGCCGACGCTCTGTCCCCGGAAAGCAGCCTGGCCCGAGGCGACGGCGCTCCTGGGGTGTGGTGTCCTGGGTGCGAGTCCGCAGGTGAGGCCGGGGGGCGCGCGGAGGCTCGTGCTAGAGCCAAACCCCGTGCAGGCGACGGACCCTGCCTCACTCTGGTCCGTGGGGAGCAACCTCCTCCTGAGCCCAGGGCGTTTCCGACTACCCGTCACCCCTGGTGTCCCGCTCACGAGACGTGGGCTCCCTGTCCAGGGTCTGGCGATGGGAACGCGCTTCCCAAACACTCCCTCGCCCCTGACTTTGGGAGAAAGGAGGCGCCACAGCTGATTTTCATTCAGAGAGAAAGCTCAGCAAAAAAAAGCTAAAGAAATATTTCCAAATCTCCGAGTATTACGAGTTTTGGCAATATCGTTAATCGGCCTTTTTTTTTTTTTTTCTTTTTCCTCTTCCACCTATTGGTTTCCCGACTACTCACAAGCACTGAAGCCCTCTGACCCGGCGCCTGGAAAACGGGATCATGCGAGGGCCGGCTTGGTTCGTAGCCCGCTACAGACCGGAACAGGACGCGCAGCAGAGCAGCCCTGAGCTGGATGGGCGCGGCGTGCCGTGTAGACTGGTGACACTCTCGTGCGGCCGCAGCGGACCTACCGGTTAGTGACTCTGCAGACCAAGGAGGAGCCGCACGACTCGGGATTGACACTGGTCCCTGGAACGGGCTTCTGGACCCGCTCACCCGTCAGGGAGCTGTTTCGTGACCAATTCCGCAGTCGGGGGAGAGAAACGTTTGCCTCCCCCACTCCCCCCCACCCCAGGCCACACCAGCCTTTGCTCCCCAGATGTTATTGTTCTGAGGATGACAGTCTTCGGACCAGGGTGAGGGCCCCACGGTACCTCAGGGGGTGAGCGGGCCGTCCCACGCAGGCCAGAGGTCAGGGAGCTGGAATCGAGCTCTCCGAGGAGCCCCAGCTGCAGGATTCTGGTTCGACCACGGGCGACACCCACCCCGAGGCTGCAGGGTCAGCAAACACGCCATGCGAGGCACGTTCCTTGAGGACACGGTGCAGCAGGTTGCAAAGGAGCTCGGTGCGACCCCAAGACAAGCGCCCCCGATCCTCAGATGCTTAGGATTGCACACACGAAATCACGCGTGTGGGTCTCCTAGCACCAGCTCACCGGCGGGGGAATCACGGCAGTAGGACTCAGGGTGCACAAAGCAAGGAAATTACCCCCCAAAAAAGAAAAAGCTTCATGCTTATATCAATCAGCTCAGCCCAACATAACCGAGTGCACAGCCTGGGCGTCTGAAAACAAGAGATTTATTGTCTCTCGGTGCTAGAGACCGGACGTCCGAGACCCAGGGGTGGGGGGGCTGGTCCACCCGAGGCCTCTCCTGGGCGTCCTCACGGGGTTGTCCCTCTGTACATGTGTGTGTCTCCTTGTAAGGACGCCGGTCATATTACAAAGCCCCCAGCAACATTTTACCTTAAGCATCCCTTTAAAGGCCCTGTGTCGGGATCCCTGGGTGGCGCAGCGGTTTAGCGCCGGTCTTTGGCCCGGGGCGCGATCCTGGAGACCCGGGATCGAGTCCCACATCGGGCTCCCGGTGCATGGAGCCTGCTTCTCCCTCTGCCTGTGTCTCTGCCTCTCTCTCTCTCTCTGTGACTGTCATAAATAAATTTAAAAAAAATAAAAAATAAAGGCCCTGTGTCCAAATATGGTCACACCCTGTGGTCCTGGTGGGGGTAGGGCCTCAAAATATGGATTTTGAGGGGACACAACTCAGCCCATAGCAATGTCCCAGTCTTCTTCCCTTTTTATTATTTTTTTAAGATTTTATTTATTTATTTAAGAGGGAGAAAAAAAAAGAGGGAGAGAGTGAGAGCACAAGCAGGGGGAGGGGCAGAGGGAGAAGCAGACTTCCTGCTGAGCAGGGAGCCCGACACGGGGCTCGATCTCAAGACCCTGGAGTCAGGACCTGAGCCAAAAGCAGGCGGTTAACCAACTGAGCCCCCCAAGTGCCCCTTAGTCTTCTTAATAAAATACCATTTATAAGTATTTATAAGTGCAAAAGGTTAGTAAGCACATGGCAGGCAATAGGGATCTATAATAGGAACCCGAACACATCTGTCTACACCTTGACCAGAGAGAGACACGACATGGCCTTGGATGGTGAGGGTCATCACTGTGGTCACCCCCCACCCTCACCCCATGGGTCAGGATCACCCCGATTCAGCAATAAGGCTGAAGTCCAACAGAAAACGAGGTCCCAGGCTGGTCACCGAGCTGCCCTGATGTGTCTCTTACCGGCTTCTGGTCTCCCCCACCCCGCAGCCCGTCCCTCTGGCAAGCCCACCCCCACCCCCAGGATCCCCTGCTGATACCCCAGGCTCCGCTGGGCCGTGCCAGCCCCCTCTGCGCTCAGCAAATCAGCCAGCGAGTGGGCTGCGCCCGCAGGCCTCTGGTCTCCCCACTGTGGGATGCCGTTTCAGCCGAATGTTGGAGAGAGGAGGCTCCTTCTTCAACGAGTGACTTGTCACCGGGAATGCTCAGACTCTTGATCCAGCACAACGCCCACAGCCGATGATGGGGAGCCCCCCCACGGGCGCAGCCAGGGCTGGGTGGGCATCGACCCTTTGACTCCCACCCACACACGTGTGGCAACACAACCAGGGATGAGGATGACGTTCCCACCCAAGTGAACTTGATTCTGCTGTTTCGTCCCTTGCTGGGGAAATCCCCCTTATCTCAGCGACCCCACAGCGGGGGGCCCAAACTCCGAGCCCCTCACTGACACAGCCGGGAGGCACCGTGCCTGCGGCGGGGCCGCACAGGGCAGAGAGACTGAGCGGCGCACACAGGCTGGAAGATTCGCCCCAGAAAGGAATGTTGGCAAGTAAAATTATTTACTTAGAAGTGCACGTCTATGTTGGTCACTGGGGCCTTCCCAGGCTGTTTGGAAGAATGTTGGCATCCCAAGTATGTGGCAAGAGCCGGCCGGGGTGAAAAGGCTGCTTTGGGTCATTTTGTTTGGAGAAGTGAAATCTGCTTTACTGGGAAACAGTATCTGCGCTGACAACATGCAGGGGTTGCGAGCGTGGGAAGTACAGAGTGGTCCCACTCTCTGTGTTGCACGGTCTCTGGAGCTACGGATGGGACCGGCGTTACTAGGATATGTCATTTTATTTTATTTTATTTTATTTTATTTATTTTATTTTATTTTAATTTAATTTAATTTTATATTTTATTTTATTTTTTATATTTTTATATATTTTTATATTTTATTTTATTTTATTATTTTATTTTAAAGATTTTATTTACTTATTCACAAGAGACCCACAGAGAGAGAGGCAGAGACACAGGCAGAAGTAGAAGCAGGCTCCATGCAGGGAGCCCAACGTGGGACTTGATCCCAGGACCCTGGGGTCACACCCAAGACCGAAAGCAGGTGCTAAACCGCTGAGCCCCCCAGGGCTCAGGATACATCATTTTCAAATACTGCCCAATGTGGTTTTACTCCACATCATGAGAGCGATGGTAGCCCACGGCGGAACCCGGGAAACCGGAACGGTGCCAGCTGAGCTCATCAGCCAGCCCACGCCGCACGGCGTCCGACTCCTGGTTTCAGCTCAGGTCCACGCTGAGTGGGGAGTCAGTCCCAGTTTCTCTCCCCGCCCCCCTTTCACATCAATCAATCGATCTTTAAAAGGCTCGTACACACAGCACATGTGCACACAGTGAGGCGCACAGACGCTCCCTGCCCACGGGGTGTCTGCAGGAAGCCTTCACCTGCTGCTGGGCTTCTCCAGCTTGTAAAGGAGATGGTGCGCACCCCCGCACCTGAGGGGTGTCGCAGACCGCTTCCCGGGGGCCGTGTCCCGCCGCAGGATGATCCACGTCCCTCAGAGGGTCCAGAGTGGGAAATGAGGTCCCTGTTTGGGGGGTCAAAGGAGACCACAGAGAGTGGCTTGATGCCAGGGGCCGGACCCAGGTCCCCGGAGGTCACCTGCTCGTGCGAGCGGCCCCTCGGGGCGACACTGGTTGCAGCGATCAATAAACCACTTGTCACACTTCAGTGAAATCCCCCTCATTTCTTGCCCTTGACTTTGAGGATAAAAACCAAAATCAAGAGGGCCGGCCTGGCTGGCTCAATGGGAAGTGTCCCTCCCTCGCTCGGGAGGTGCCTCAGAGTCGGACACTCGGGATTTGGGGGTCAGCTGCCCCCCCCAGCCCCAGGGTGTGAGCGGGACTGGGTAGGAAGGAGTGTGCTACCGACCTGGAGAAGGAGACCCGCCGGCCGTGCCATCCTGTGACCCCAGCTTTCGCACCCACGGATCATGCTGCCGAACCTTGGAGCAGAGGTTGGCAGACGTTTTTTTTCAAATTCAATTTATTTATTTGAGAAAGAGAGACAGAGAGCACAAGCAGGGGCAGCAGCAGGCAGGGGCGGAGGGAGAAGCAGGCTGCCTGCTGTGCAAGGAGCCCACGGGACTGGGCTCCATCCCAGGACCCTGACATCATGCCCTGAGCCAAAGGCTCAACCTACTCAACCTACTGAGCCCCCAGTGCCCTGGCATACATTCTTTTTTTTTTTTTTTAAGATTTTATTTATTTACTCCTGAGAGACACAGATAGAGGCAGAGACACAGGCAGAGGGAGAAGCAGGATCCCTGCGGGGAGCCCGACGCAGGACTCCATCCCGGGACCCCAGGGTCACGCCCCAGGCCGAAGGCGGCACTGAACCCCTGAGCCCCCGGGCGCCCTTACTGGAACTTTTTATTTAACCGAACTGATGCTATGCAAAGAGCCCTGACGTTGGTTGAAGCCGTCACGTTGTGCACGGGTTTACAGGTTCTAGCGCAAGGTGTGTGCGTGTGCAGAGCCCGTGAAGCCACCCAGCGCCTGGCTGAGCACACGCGGGGCTGGGGCCCCAGGAGACACCCCCCCCCTGCCCTGGGCCCCGCTGCCGACTGAGGCCCCAGGAGTGGCGGGCAGAGCGAGGGACCTGGCTGTGTGCTCTGCTGCCCTCGGGGGGCGTCTGCCTGAGCCCCAGAGCCTGGGGGCACCACCTGCAGGTCGCTCCCCGCAGTGTTGGGCTTCTCGGGGTGGCAGCCTGGACGGCCTCACGGGTCATAGCCTCGGCCTTTGCCTGCTCCCCTCTGCGAGGCCGGGCCTCGTCGTTCTACGTGGTGCTGGGCGCCTGTCAGGGGCACGATTTGGGAGAACTCACTTGCGGCTCTTGACCCTGGATGGGGCGGAGAAGGGGAACCCGTGACCGCGTGGACCCTGGGGAGTCCATGAGGTAGGAAAGCAGCAGCCTTCCCGCCACTCGTCATTTAGAGAGAAACGCAGATGCCGCTGCAAACCAGAGCGGCCCCAGGCCCTGGGCTCCCGCCCACCAGGAAGGGCCAGCAGTCAGCAGCTCCCACCCTGAGACGCGTGGGGAGCCCCACGGCGATCTGTCACCTGAGGGCCGCAGAGCAGGGACGGGAGGGGACCCAGGGACCGGGACGCTGTGCTTTCTCGTGGGAATAAAGATATCATTCACAAAGTAGTTGGAAGCAATCCTGGGAGCTCAGGGGGTTCTTGGGGTGCAGCCCTGAAGGGAGTGTGGGTCCTGGGTTTTCATGGAGTGCAGCCTGGGGCGCCAGAGTTTCTTAGGGTGCCATCCGAGAGGGCTTGGGGTTTCTTGGGGTGCAAACGGACGGCCTCTGGGTCTCGGGATAGAATTCTGGAGGGCCTTTGAGTCTTGGGGTACAATGTGGGGACTGCAGCGCTCCTTGGGGTGCAGCCCCGGGGGCAGCCTCTGTGCAAGCCAGCCTCACTTGTCCCCATTGCAGGCTGGGGGGCCCTGCAGCAGAGACCCCCAGGGAGCAGCGGGAGGCATGGGGCAGTGGGAACCTTGGTGGGGGCAGCAGGGAAGGCCTGGAGGCCTGGGGGAGGGGACATAGGCCGCAGACACTCCTCTGCCCTTGTGGGGAGGTGGCCGCGCCCCGGGAGCTTATGCACACCTCTCCCCGGAGAACCTTCCCACCCGGGTGCTCCGGTGCTCGCAGACCATCAGGAGCTTCCAGAGGTTTGCTTCCCAACCCCTCGGGGCGATCCACCTGACCCCGTGGGGAGCCCGGATGGGATCTCGGGATGGGCACCACCCCCTGGGCCCAGGCGGGGGCAGGGGCGAGCTGCCAGGGACACTCCCACCTGCATCTTGGTCTATCTAGCATCTCCAGGCCCCCCCTCCCCCAGAAGACAGCACTTAGCAGAAAGGAGGCCCCGGTTAAAGCGCTTCGGGATAACGGAGCTCTCCTCCCCGATGTGCACGTACCCCCTTCTTAGGCAGTAGGGACGAAAACAAGGGATTTTTTTTTTTTTTTTTTAAGCACATTCCTGGACCCAGCCCTGGAATTCGGAGCCCGGGCTCAGGAATCCGCCTGCTTGTCCACCCCTCCCCGGGGTGGATTTTGGCGCCCTGCTGGTTGGGAAGCCACACCCCAGGCGGGACTGCCCCTGGCTTGAGGGTGGAGGACCCGAGGCGACAGCGGGAGGCTCAGCTGGTGAGGGCTCTGCTACCCTCCCTGGGTGCCAGGCCTGCAGGCCGTCTGGGCGGCGGCCCGGGTGGCCGACATCTGCCCTGGGAGCCAGACACCCTCCAAACGGAGCT